TTTATTTGTGTCATCTCTTCTTTATTCCCTCTCTTTTTTTCTTAGTCTAGCTAAACATTTGTCAATTTGATTATTCTTTCAAAAAGTTAACTCTTCCTTTTGTTAATCTTTTATATTGTTTTTCAGTCTGTTTCATTTATTTCTGCTGTGATCTTTATTTTCCTTCTTCTATTAATTTTGGGTTGAGTTTGTTTGTTTTCTACTATCTTGAGCTATAACATTAGGTTATTTGAGATCTTTCTTGTTTTTTTATGTAACATTCATTGGTATAAATTTTCCTTAGAACTTTCACTATGTTCCATAGGTTTAATATGTTGTTTCTATTTTCATTGTTTCAATACATTGAAAATTTTTTTTAACTTTTTTATTGATCCATTGATTATTCAGAAGCATATGTTTAATTTCCATGTATTTTAAATTCCAAAGTTCCTTTTGTTATTGATCTAGGTTTATACCTTGTGGCCATAAAAGACACTTGATTGTTTCTTCTTCTATCAGTCTTATTTTATTCTTTAAGACTTGTTTCATGGATTAATATATGATCTATCCTGGAGAATGTTCCATGTATGGCAAAGAATGTGTATTATGCAACTGTTAGATGGAATATTTTGTAAATATCTGTTAGATCCAAGCTAGAGTGCAGTTTAAATCAGTGTTTTTTGATTTTCTGTTTGGATAATCTCTCCATTGCTTGAAGTCCTGTACTATTTTGTATTGCAGTCCATCTCTCCCATTGGATCTATTACTATTTGCTTTATATTTGTAGGTACTCCAATGTTGGTTTAATATATTTATATATATTTCAATTGTTACATCCTTTGATTAATTGACTCCTTTATCAATATATAATGTCTTTTTTGTCTTTTTACAGCTTTTTACATAAAGTCTATTTTATCTGATATAATATAGCTACTCTGTTCTCTTTGGGTTTCAAAAATATTCCATGGAATATTTTTCCATCTCTTCGTTTTCAGTCTATGTTTTTCTTGTGGATGAAGTGAGTCTCTTACAGGCAGCAAATAGTGAAGTCTTGTTTATTTTTATCCATTATGCTACTCTTATTTTAATTGGAGAATTTAACTTATTTACATTCCAGGTAATTATTGTTAGGTGAGGAATTACTGCTACCAGTTGGTTAATTATTTTCTAATTGTTTTTTAGATCCGTTCTTCCCTATTACTATATTTCTTTACGGTTAAATGATTTTTTAAGTAATATGGTTTGATTTATTTTAGTATATCCTCACATAGGTTTTTGCTTTGTAGTTACCATGAAGCTTACAAAAAATTCATGACAAATTATTTTAAACTGATAAAAACTTAACTGATCACAAAAGCACAATTTCTTCACTTTAACTCCATAAATCTCACATTTTTATGTCACAATTTACATATTTTTATATTGCATATCCTTAAACAATTATTATAGCTATTATTTTTAATAGTTTTGTCTTTTAGCCTTCATACTAAACATACAGAAGATTTACACACCACCATTACATATTAGAGTATTTTGATTTTACTGTGTA